AAAGACAGCTAACATGCTTTTAATCATCATTAGCTGAGAATGAACCATGTTGAATGTGGCACAAACGATGTTTAGAGCGAACATGCAGCTAGTGGATTATGGTCTTCATTATAGCACAGACCGGGTGTGTAGGAAAGAGCTTGACCATTGTCGTCACCTCTGGCTTCCCACTGCCCTACCTTTGACAATCTGACACTGGAGCCATGCAAGTTGGTAAAATGCCAGATTAGTGACCTGAGCATTTCACAATGATGTAAAAAAACCCAACTGGCTCGATGTACCAGGATAGGTACAAACCCTTCTGGTTTTGTGATGAAAAATATTAGGCGTAACCTGATGGGAATGTTGTCTTTTCAGATGGAATCCATCCTACCCAGAGAGCATCCCATGCACTCCAGGCATTGCTGAAGGGAGACATGCCCAGAAGAAGGCCGTGACCAGGCAGAAGAGGCTCAAACAGTTAGAAGATAGGCCCCCACATCTGTCACCATGTCAGAAAGTTTCAGCAGCATCTTCCAGACAAATTGTAAGAGAAAGAAAAGGACTAGTTGTCCTTTGGAATGTAAAAGTAAAGGTTTAAGAACATCCAAAGCAAAGTTCCCCCGCCATCCACAATCTTCTCAGTTTGTAAGAAGACCATTCTCTCTGCTATGGCTTCCTTGGTTGCTCCTGTGCCAGTCAGATCATTCAAAATGGCTTCCCTGAAAGCAGAACAGAGCAGGGGCTTCCTCACAGGGTTCAGAAAAAAACACCCAAGCCAGCTTCAGGTGGTGACAGAAATCCTTTGTTGCACCCAAAGAGACATGATCCCTTATTCACTTGCAGTCTGCACCATCCCTTACAGTTATATCGAGTGTGTGCATACGGGGAGACTTATTCTCTGCAGATCCAACCTGCTTCTTGGGTGCTCTGCACAGGTGATGTGGCAAGACATCGAAAATGTGCCCCCCGGGGCTGTCTGCTGCACTGCAGCTCCACGACATCTTTCACTGCATCGGTTCTCCAGGTACCTTCCAAGACTTGATTGCTGAACCCTCACATCCCCTTGCAATATAGGTCAAGGATCACTCCCATTTTCCAACTGGAAAGAAAATGTAGGAAGGACTGAAGTTAGGTGGTTTGCCCCACAGTTGTACAGCTGGTCAGAGGTGGAGGCGGAGACAGAACCAATCCTTAATTCAGGCACTAGACAATATTCCTTCCGTCTAGAATACAGACATACTCTGAAAGGTCGTATTGGTAAATACATTAAAGGAAAATCATCTCCTTGTTAGTGACTCTTAATCCAGATAAGCATGATTCTGAATTAGGCTGTAAGTGTGTTTTAAAGGGAAACACTTAACCTGTGTTATTTCCATGCTGGCACCATCATAAACAGCCATTCCTACTTGTACCGAATTAGGCGAATAATCTTATTATTCATGAAATCTGAAGTATGTGGATGAGAAGAATCTATGCAGAAACCATCACTCATGGCTATTTTTAGCACTTCTTCCACAAACACCTGGAAACTATTGATTTGCTTATTATCTGGCACCACCCAGAGTCTCTTTAAGTTCTGCCTGGTGTACTCCTCTTCAGGAAGGCCTTCCACACTTGCAACCCAATCTAAGGTCAAATGGTTGGGGTCCTGCAGGTAGCTGGATATTGAAGAGAGGTTTCCATTGAAGCAATAGTAAAGTTTGGAACCGAGAAGCTTCAGGAACAGACATGACGTGGAGAAGATATGAGCACTGAACACTTCCATGTTGGAGGAAGATAGGCTGTAGATCTGGGGTGCTTCTCGGACGGTGAAGTGAACAGTCTGGGTCTTCTGATCGAGGGTGATGTTGAGCATGGCATTCTTCTCCGCTTTAGAAAGCTCCACCTCCTTCTCCTGCAAGGCCTCAATCAGTGGCTGAATTTGATAAAAGTCTACCTCCCGTCGAAGTAAGCCCATTTCCTGAAAGTCTTCGGGGAGGTCCAAGTGAGAAGTTCGTAAGAAATTCAGGATGTAGCGGAAGATTTTGCCATCTCTGTCAATAAAGCAGTTGCCTTGCCTGTCCTTTTTGGTTGGGATCTTCCCACTAAACATGGCCCCCAGCATGGAGTCTGGAAAGCTAGTCAAGGTGGACAGAGAGGTGGTATAGAGTTTTCCTCCAACATTAAGCGTGATGGGTTCTGACATGATGGAAAAGTCACGATGCTGGGACTAATTCTAAAGAAAAAAAATAAAAATCCAACACCACACATTTAGTTGCGTTTACCTGTTTGAAAGGTTAAACTACAGAGATAGAGAGTCCTAAATACATAAGGGTAACTACATGGCAAGAATTCAGCATAGAAATTAGAAGTGGGGAATTACTTTTGGAGGTTGTATCTTGAGAACAAGCCTAAGGATGTTTTTTCTCCCAACTGGCTTGAACAGGACTTGGTTTAGTGCCAGAAATCATGAGTCTTCCAAAACTTTACAATCACGCTAAAAGTGAAATCCCTCCCACGGATGCCTACAGCGGAACAAGTGCTGACTTCAAAGCAAGAGTTGTGTCATGGGCTCACCTGATCCCACCTCCCTTGTGAACACAGACTTTAGAGGGGAAAAAAAAGGATAGGACAAGAACTGGACATATCCCAACATCTTCCATGGCATCCGAAGATAAAATTAAAGCAACGAAGCCGTTGCAGCAGAATCCCCTAACACACATCTGAGTGCAGTCGGCCTAACAGGGAGCCAGCGAGCAGTGCTGCCGTAAGCATGCGACAGTCTGCAGTTCCATTCAGTAAAAAACCAGCAGACTTTCTCCTTCCAACGTGCTTTACCTTAGAAAACATTTCCTAATTAATTGGGGGCATATCCCAGTGGATGTAGTTTCCACACAGCTTCTTTGCAATCAGCTGAGACAAACGGAGGATGTGACTTTATGGTGTGGTTAAGCACCACTGCCTCTGGAAGGGACATACCTCCCTTCGCCCTCCACCATACCTTCCTCCTCCCTTATGCCGGCTCTGGCACTCAGCTGACCCCGCAGTGAGGCAGCATAAAGAGAAAAAAAAAATAATTTTCTTTTCAGGATATGTTCCTGCTACATTTTGGAACCAGATGAACGGCAGGGCTGGTGCAAGGGAAGAGGAAGGAGCTACGCAGCCCTTTCCGTCGCAGATCA